GTTTAAGGTTAGGATATTTCACGGCGTAATTGTAAAGGTAAGTCTTCCAGGAAGAGTATTTTGTAAGAAATCCAAATAAGTGGCGTAAAATAACTGGACCAACCAAATATCTCCCAACAATACCTGCCCACACATTTATTCTAAACTTTCTTTGGTAACTGTAGCATGTGGATTTTGATCCGAATGATCCTGTGGAAACCATTGTTCGATCTAGGATGTAATTACAAAAAATCATCCTTAGGTCTCGCGGTAATAGTTCTTGAACTTTTTGAAAATGATATGTATGCAGCAGATTACGTCATATAATTCGATGGACCGTGGACTGTGGTATGTTAGATTGCTGGGATATTATTCTGGTAATGGTTTGGAGATCATTTTCAATACTGTCTAAAACGTGCTCTTTATTTCGTGCATTCACTGCGTATTCGCGACTTCTAACTTTTCTTCGGCGGCAAAGAAAACCCGTTTCCCGAGCTCCTCATTCAACATTAGCAAATGCTTGACGATTTGGAATAATGCGATTAGGAAATCTTCTTCGGTATTCTGCGGCAATTAATTACCTTCGCAAAAACCCAATACTAACAGCATATCAACTTGCTCATTAAATAAAAGTTTTCCTGTCATTTTTACGAATAAATATCACGACAAACAAGAACAAGATGTACGGTTTTGAGCCCTATAACAAAATCACAATTTTCTCAAAAACGGACAGTTTCTCGAAAAATTGACAAGAATAAAAAGAGTGTAAAATTGAATTTGCTTATTACATTGTAAATTAAGTTAGGGCATAAAATTTTGAGGGTGACACCCGTTTTTGAGATGCCGGTCACTACAAATGTCTACCAGCTAAAGACGTCAGTAAATTAAATATATTTACAAAATTTGGTCGTTCAGTATTAAGGTATTGCTGAAATACCGAGTTTTTTTGATTTCTTTAAGACATTTTCTGATGCCAATATCTCCGCAACTGAGGAAAAAAAATTCATATGAAAAATAAACTTGTTTTGGTGTCCTCTATACGCACCTGTTCTATGTCAGTGAGTTGTGAATGTTATTACTTTTTTGAAATAAAATAGTTTTTTCCAGATCCATAATAAAAATATGTCATATTTGATGTAAGTTTTATGTCTCGCTCTATACAGTTTTTTAAACATATTTAGAATCTGCATCAGCTTTTTTAGAAGCGAAAATGGCCTGATGATAGTGTCCTTAAAACAATTTTTAAAGGATATTTGCCATATAATATTTGTATATTAGCAAAGATGGTGGCTAGAAACTTTTATTTCCTAGATTTTAACAAATGTAACGAGTGTTCAAATAAAAACGTGGTCAAGTTGGTTCTGAAAATTTGAACGTAGGGCGTAGCGTATAGCTAATGAACTTAAACGTTATCTGTCAAAGCGCTATATCGCCGCTATCAATTTGAATATTTTCGTTTTAAAAAGCGTTTAAAATGGTGTTTTCTCAAGAATAAAAAGTGTCCTACTTTAGAAATGGACGCAAGATTGATGGAATATGGAAGTATTCTATTGAGGAATGTTTCATAGAATTTCAAAATCAATTTCCCGGCGTTGTTGAGTACAAAATTTTTCAAAGTGCAGTTCAGCGTTGTGTTAATGTTTTTCGTGAAACGGGCAGTGTAACAAGAAAAGAAGGAAGCGGCCGACCTAAAAAGCGGACTGAAGAATTAAAAGAAAATGTCCAACAAATAATGGAAAATGCGCCAAGAACTTCTGTACGTGTTTTATCACAAATGGTGGGAGTATCAGTCGGTACCTGCCACACAGTGTTAAAAAAAGATTTGCGTTTGTTCTCCTATCGTTTAACTTGTCAGCAAGAACTTCATGAAGTTGATTTTCCGCGACGGGCTGTATTTTGTGAATGGTTTTTAAACAACTACGGTGAACTTCATAATATCACCTTTTTTTCTGATGAAGCCTGGTTTCATTTAAGTGGTTACGTAAACTCACAGAATATGAGAATGTGGTCTTCTGAAAAACCAGATAACTTTTTTGTCGAGGGCCCTCTACACGCTCAAAAAATTGGAGTTTGGTGTGCTCTCAATCGAAGGAGGATTTATGGACCTATTTTTTTTAATGGTACTCTTACTGCGCAAAGGTATAGAGAAGAAATTATCGCTCCTTTTGTTAACCAGCTGGAAGAAAACGAAATTACAAACTTTTACTTTCAACAAGATGGCGCAAGGGCACATACGGCAGGCGAGACGATGAATATGTTGAGGGAAGTTTTCCAAAATCGACTAATAAGTCTCAATGCTGAACATGAATTTCCACCGAGGTCATGTGATATTACGCCGTGTGATTTCTTTTTGTGGCCTTACCTTAAAAACACTATTTTTGAACTGCCTATTCCTGATTTAAACCATCTGCAGGCTCGACTTATAGACAAGATTCGTGAAATTAACAATACCCCGAGCATCTTAGAAAATGTCTTTAATTCTTTGAGGAACAGGTGTGAAAAGTGCTTGGAACAAGGAGGGGGACACTTTCAGCAGCTGCTTTAATTTATTGTTATAACAAGGAGGGGGACACTTTCCGCAGCTCCTTTAATTGTTTGTTATTGTTATCACGATTATTCTTTAAAATAAAGTTATATAGTTATTAACGTTATTGAAACTGACAGCTGCTATACAGCTCGTTGACAAATGAGGTTAAGTTGGTCGCTATAAGCTACTCCCTACGTCCAATGTGTAAGAGCCAACTTCGACCACGTTTTTATTTGAACAATGTTTCAGGCATTTTCCAATTTTTCTGCAAATTTTGAACCTCTTTATTCAAGAAATAAAATATTTCCTGTGAAACCTTTTCAAAAAGTGTTTTATACATGAAACTAAACCGTATTATATAATTCAAAATTATCTACATTGTGTTATACAGCATAAATTAGGCGTATTTGATTACAGAAAGACTATATCGTTTTTAATATGTATACAATACAATAAATATCTAAAAAGAAATTGCCACCTCTGAAATTTCAATTCAGCGAACCTCAAATATACTCAACAAAACGAAGACCTCGTCGAAGCCCTTGTAATTAACGGAATTCGCGGTTTTTATTCAGGATCGTGTTTCATTTCGAGGCAAGGTTTTATGTGGGCATTCGCGCAAATAAAAGGTCGAATCAGGAAACGAAAACGAGCTGCTACATTTATCTTCGTTGCTAAAAAGGAATAACACGAATTAAAAGGACAATTACCATATAATTTTTGTTATTGTACCTAATTCTAGTCTGTTACAAATTTCGTGTATGGTCCTTCACGGTCCGATGTAGTTTGTTAGGAAAAAACATATTTTTTCACAATCGATCCTTTTTTCCATGACGGTCCTTGGATTTTTCTGTATCTCCCACACATTTTCTATTTCAGTATTATCTTGTACGCATTACTGAAAGTAATATAAAAATATCAATAAAAAATTAGTGTGTCATTTTGTTTGTAAGTAACCCTAATAACGTCTTGAAAAACTATAGCACAGTCGTACAATTTTATAACAAAATAGAAATATCAAATTCGGAAAGTTGCCACTAAATACAGACGTTAGTTTTGATTTCTTGTCACGTGGATATCAAGTGTGTTGCGTGCGTGCCTGGTGCGTGTCTCGTGTGTATCACGCGTGTCGCGTGTTTCTTTCCTCCTGGTCTTGTGATTTGAGGTTAAGAAATGATGCTCCAGGTCTCCACTGCGCCACGAAGCTTGTAATTTGGTAAGACCTTTCTAAAGGGTGTTTCAGGATTAAGTCGACAAACTTTAAGGAGATATTCCCCATAAAAAAATAAGAAAAAAATCAAGTAAACATTTTTTTCCAGAGGCGCTTCATTTTCGAAATATTAAAAATTTTTTAAAAAATTCGAATTTTTTAAATAACCTCTAAATGAAGAAGGCTATTTAAGCCAAATTTGGCATGACACATCTTCCTATAAGATACCATTTTTCCATAGAAGTAGAAGTCCCGCAAGCAACCAGTGGCGGAGATATGGGGACTCAGACTCATTAAATTATAAAAAAAAATTAATACGGTCCTACTGAAAATAAAAAATGATGCTGTTTTTAGATAGAACAGTCTGTTATTGACCAAAAGTGTACATTAATTTTTTTCCTAACTCTTATAGTTTCATGGCAAAATTTATTTATTATTTAAAAAATTCGAATTTTTTAAAAAATCTTTAACGCCCTATATTTCGAAAATGAAGCGTCTGTGGAAAAAAATTTATACTTGATTTTTTTTTCTTATTTTTTTTATGAGAAATATCTCCTTAAAGTTTGTCGACTTAATCTTGAAATGCCCTGTATATCCTAACCCTTCAGGCATAAAAATTACGTAAAGCTAACGTATTCGTAGAGTTTATTTGATTTTTAAATAATAAATGTTTGTGTTTTCTGTCTTATTAGTTATTTTCTGTGTACGGTCGTAATTTTTTTGTGCTACTTTGCACGTATAGATACGCCAAAGTTTAATATATAATGGTGTGATAATAAACATTGCCAGAAATAATTGAAAATGACAGACATATTGATTGCAATATGCTATTTTGTGAAATTAGTTTTAAGACTTACAGTACGTTCTTTTCATCACGATATTCAACAACTTTCACTGGAGGGCGTAGTTATCAATAATAATTATCAATACCTTTTAAATTATTTGCCTAACAGCACAAAACAATTTTATTTACTAAAAAAAATTATAATGAGGACGAAGACTATTCTTGAGAACAGGTCTACATTTTCAATTGCTTCGAGTGCCCTTCTTGAGATAAATTAGGTAGGTATATTGACTATAAATCCCGGAGAAATATTTATTTGAACAACACAATCAGCTGTGTGTACAATAAACATAAACGAACTCCATCCTTGGCCCAGTAGTTACCAATCTGTAATTTCCGGGGTATACTTGGCTGTTTGTTTGCTTTAAACGGGGTTCTCACGTCCACGAGACGCTATCTAGCCGAGCATGTGTTCCCAGATTGTTTGTTTTTCTCTCCAGATGCATACACAAGGACCAAGATCCCTGCACGATGAATCTGTGCGAGCAGCGGTGCTCCCTCTACATGCAACGCCTCATCTGTACTTGCTACGACGGCTACAAATTCAGTCCCGAGAACCAGAAGAAGGGCATCAAGCCTGTATGTGTGGGTGAGTAGACTTTTGAGCTTTTAAGATGACTGAGGATGTTTCAAATGCAGTGAAAACCTTACTCCAGATCCACCTACTGGTACATACAAAAGAAGTTTACGAAAATTCACTCCATGTGTTTAGATTGCAACTTTGTCCTTGTCATTCTTATGATTTTAGAGAGAGAGAGGGAATTATATGTCCAGGTCAATACAAGTTAATTTTAACTAAAATCATTCAGACCTGTGTACTTTTCGGCCCAATTTCAAGCCTCAAAATACCATCAGCAAACAGGACGGGAATGTTACTTTTCCGGCCTAGGAAACTTAATTTTTTCCCGTACCATTTTCTTTAATCTATATTTTATACGGTAAATACTCAGACGAACCGAACCAACTCACATCAAAAATTCATTATTCAGTAAACATTTATTGATCGTATTTGACATTTTATACGCTTATTGTAAATATTTGTTTATATTTATAGTTATATTGCAGTTTATAAAGCTATTAAACGTTGGTTGAACTTTACTCGAAAAGTCGACGATATTATTGCCATTTATTATTAATTTTTCGTCGACAATATTATTACTATTTATTAGAAAATTTCTCCTTGTCTCTCCTTCCTCTAAATATTTTATCTGCTATGTCTAGTTTATTTGTAAAAGTTTCCTGTATATATCCTTCGACAACGTTTGAAGGTTTCCATCACCCATGTCTCTTTAATGCAATTAAATCTGCCCCAACATTAACCAAAATAGTCGCAGAGCAAGGGTAGATTCCTTACATTAAAATAATGCGATGTAGCTAAACTTACCTTTGTCCATTTGTGGATAATAAAAAAGGGTGTTAAAAGTTCAAATTTTGAATTCAAAATTCTTAAAATTTTTAAAAAGTTTTCAAAGAATTACTTTGAAAATTTGGAGTCGGAGGTTTTCTGGGTCCAGGGAAACAAATCCGGACTTAACTTGCTGTAGACGCTGTAGGTCGATGCAAAATATACTCCTGTTGTTAAAAATTTTTTTCTGTGTATACGAAAGTTTTAATAGAATATTATTCTCTTATCTATTTTACACAAATAAAATATACTTATTTTATGTCGATAAGTTTAACCGTTTTCGATTTATTTACAGTTTTTCCGTTGGAATTTAATTTTCAGGATAAACATTTTTATAGTTACCTACTTAAAACTACCATAGTAAGATTTGGTTATTTGGAAACAAATCGTTCTATTGACAAGTAACTTACGTCAAATAGTGTATTCTTGTTTTGTGTGTAAAACTAATAATATCGTCTGAAATATTGTTGTTAAGGAACCGATTTCATAAGCAATTAGATTCTAATGAAGAAATGTTAGGTATGCATTAATAAAAATTTATTTCATATTAATTAATTGTTATAATAATTGTTTGCGATTTCAGATGCGATTTTTACAATAATTGTTTGCGATTTCAGAAAAAGTAGTATCTGTACCGCGTAGCAAAAGCACATTCCCTGACCCAATACTTTGCATTGTCGTCCGAGAATACGCTACTAGTCCAGACGGTATCTGTTTCAAAAAGCCATATTTGGGTGAATCGTATATCCACGGAGATTTTTGGCTTTTTGGCTTTCAAATATCACTAGAAATGAAAATTTTTCTATGCGCATAAAAAAAACGTGGGCTTAAGTTTTGGCGGCACAATATGATAAAAAAATTCGAAAAAAGTCATATTTTTCTTCCTATTTAATTAATGTATCTTTTCAAGAGTTGATTTTAGGCGAAAGTGGAAGAGGAAAAAATGTTTGCAATTAAATTTTTTACAAAACATGTCTAGTTAAAAATCGAATGAATCATGATTATTATGGTAAAAATCGAAAAATTCGCAAAAATGGGGTTAAAAAACAATACTTTTTAGGGAATTTTTTGGG